TCTTAGGTCTTCGGGCGTCCGAGACCGCCCAGGAGGACTGAAGATCGCCCGAAAACTATCCGAAAGGGTTTCTAGGCAGTCCAAGGAAGCCCAAACGCGGCCCAACATGGCCCCAAGATGACCCGAAGAGAGCTTAATGACGGCCCATCATGGCCCCAAGACGCCCCCCGAAGCATTCCAAATCATGACCAGGTCGTTCAGGGAGACAGCGGTTGTAAACAGGGAAGCGCGAGGAAACTTCCAGAGGCCTGTGGAAGGCACCCAGGAGGCCTTCAGAAAGCTCCACGAAGCTTTAAATATTTTCGTGCGCCCTCCAAGAGGCTTTCAAAGGAGGAGGTGGCGGAACCTCCGCAAGAACAGGTGAGGAGGACGGGGAAGACTTGGCAGGATAGGGTGGGAAGGACGAACAGGAAGAGGAAATAGGAGGGAAGGACAATTTATATGATTGTCACGGCGATGCTGGTAAACGCAGCAAGGATTTATTGCTAAACTTGATGCATACCTTCCTTCCCTTCCGCCTGCATGTCAAACTTCGAGGACCAAGGTGCACGGCGCTCAGTGCCAATGCAGTTATACAAGTATATGTATATATGTACACACTTATAAACACAGTTATTTCAATACACACATTCGTGTAGCCATACATACGTATGCATACGTACACTCATACATATATATATATATATATATATATATATATATATATATATATATATATCGGTAAATATGTTATATGTATATATGCATATATATATACACATACATATACAAATCTACATCTATAATATTAATAAATACCGCCCCCCCCGGCCCCGGGTCCCACACCTCCCCGCAACATCTCGGGAACGCTCCCGGTATCGCTCCCCCAGCCTTTCCGGGGAGCCTCTACAGCGCTCCTTGAGGGCCCAAGACGACTCCCAGGAGCCCCCAGAATGCGAAAGGATGGTCCAAGACGCTCCCAAGCAGCCCAAGTCAGCCTTCCGACGGCTCTCGAGGCTCCCAGGTAGCCTCCAAGAGACCCCAAGGGAGGTCTGAGAGGCGTCCCGGGACGGCCCGAAGAGGCCCAAAGCGTAGATTTTCATTGTTTTTTCAATGTTTTTGGTTTCTCGCATTTTCGAGCTTCCAACGGTCCAAGAGCGCCGAAGAGGCTCTCAAGACCGCCCCAAGACCACCCCAGAGACCCTCAGGACGGCCCTAAGACGGGCCAAGAAGGCTCCAAGACTGCCAAAGAGGCGCCAAGGACAGCCCCAGACCACCCGAGAACAGGCCAGAGATGGGCCTAAGAGCGGGAGCAGCAGGCTTCCAGAGGCCTCCGAGAGGCCTCTGGGACCACCCAGAGGCCCCCAACACACCCCCGATCCTTAAAAGGTCCCAAAAAGACCCTGACGAGGCTCCCAGAACAGCCCAAGAGAGCTGCGAGAGCCGTCCCGAGAGCCCAAAGAGGGTCAAATCGTTTATTTCCCATGGCTTTTCTAATATTTTTCGCCTTCTCACGTTTTCCCGCTTCCAACCCTCGAAGATCGAGGATTTTGAAAAAAAGGGGATTCCCAGAATTTCCTGTTTTTTTCAAAGTGGGACTCTTACTCGGGGGTCCTGCACATCCCCTGACATCTGGCCGGTACCGCGCCTCCCGGCTTCCCGGGGGGGAGACCCCAAGACGTCGAAGGACAGCCCATGACGACCCCAAGGAGCCCCCAGAACGTAAAGAACGGCCCAACACGCTCCCGCGCAGCCCGAGACACCCTTTCGACGGCTCTCCAGGCCTCCAGGAGGCCTCCAGGAGGCCTCCAGAAGGCCCCCGGGGGTCCGGAAGACCCCATACCCCTGAGGGGCCTGGCAAACAAAACCCGCAAGGCACAAACAAAAACAGCGCCGAACAGCGCCGAGGAACTGGAAAAACATGGAAATCCCACAATTATTTTTTTCAAGTTTGGCCCCTGGTCTACTCTTGCACAACAGACCATAATTCAGACCCCCCTCACCTCCCCCAAAAGAACCCAGGAAGCCTTTGAGGGGCCCAAATCATTGAATATCTAAATGAAATTAATAATTTCTGCGTTTCCGCATTTCCCCTTCTATACGATTCCGAGGCTGGCGCAGGGTCTCCAAGGGAGTCCCTGGACGCAAGAAGCGACCTAAATGATGTTACATGAGTTAGCCTATCAAGCCTAACTAGAACTCGAGCGCTCGCGAAGCGCGCGCGATGGTTCTAGTATACATATATGTATATATCATGTTTACGTCGAAGATATATAGCATCGTCTGTATGTGTATATCGAAAACGCCTATGGCGAATCATACCGCTGTCTCCTGCTTGTGGGAAACGCCCATGCGGTCAAACGTTGGGCCGCAGTCTTGCCAAGCCATTGGGCTATTTGCTCCCGAAGCCGTTGTGGAACCCCTTGTGGCAAGGAAGAGAAAGGAGGAGGAAATGGTTGAGAAGGAGGAGGGGCAGGAGCAGGAGCAGGAGGAGGAGGAGGAGGAGGAGGGAGCAGGCGGATGATGATGATGATGATGACGAGGATGATGATGATGATGATGATGATGATGATGATGATGATGATGATGATGATGGTGATGATGATTATGATAATGATGATGGTGGTCTTGGTGGTGGTGGTGGTGATGATGCTGCTGCTGCTGATGATGATGATGACGATGATGATGAGGACGATGATGATGATGATGATGATGCTGATGATGCTGATGCTGCTGATGATGATGATTATGATGTTGATGATGATGATGACGATGATGATGATGATGATGATGATTATGATGATGCTGATGATGTGATGAGGATGATGATGATGAGATGATGATGATGATGATGATGATGATGATGATGAGGAGATGAGGATGATGAGGATGAGGATGATGAGGATGAGAGTGACGATGATGATGATGATGATGATGATGATGATGATGATGATGATGATGATGATGATGGTGGGGTGGTGATGATGAGATGATGATGATGCTGATGATGATGATGATGAGGAGGAGGAGGAGGAGGAGGAGGAGGAGGAGGAGGAGGAGGAGGAGGAGGAGGAGGAAGAGGAGGAGGAGGAGGAGGAGGAGGAGGAGGAGGAGGAGGAGGAGGAGGAGGAGGAGGAAGAAAAAGAGGTCTTTTGAGCCCCTCTTGGGGGCCTTCTCCCGGGAGCCTCTTGGGGGCCTCTGAAGGGCCTCGTGGAGGCCTGCTGGGGGCCTCCTGGGGCCTCTTGTGACCTCTTGGCCTTCGGAGGCCGTCTGGGGCACCCTCCGGGCAGTCGTGGGTCCCCCTTTGGGTACTATAGGGTCGTCTTAGAGGTCTGTGGGGCCGTCTTGGGGCCGTCTTGGGACTCTCTCTGGGCAGTCGTGCGGCCCTCATTGGGCGCTTTAGGGTCGCCTTGGAGGTCTGTGGGGCCATCTTGGGGCCGTCTTGGAGCTCTCTTGTGCCGTCTTGCGGGTCTCTTTGGGGCCTCTTGGAGCGGCCTTGAGGTCCTAGGGGGCCGCCTTGGAGCGTTGGAAGCCCGAGAAGGCAAGAACGCTGAAATCATTGAACCACCTAAAGCAACTACATGTTCTTGGGTTCCTGAAGGTGCTCTGGGAGCCATTTTGGGGCGTCTTGGGAGCCTCGTGTGCCGTCTGGAGGGTATCTTGGTCTGTCTTGGGGCCGTCTTAGCTGTCTTGGAGTCGTCTTAGGACCGTCTTGGAGGCCGTCTTGGGCCATCTTGGCCGTCTTGGAGACGAGTTTTCTGGATCTCGGAGTTCTTCCGTACGGCTGGCGGGTCAAGACGAAGGCCATTGGGAATATGGAAACAAGGCGTCTAGCACAAGAAAGCTTTCGGTGTGCCAAGCACCCCTTGGATAAACACAGGCGGCGGCGGATATTCGGGGGTGGACAGAACCCCAACAGTGCCACGTCGATTAGTGAATTGTCCGTTCTCGGTTTTCGAGAGGGCGCCGTGGCCGTTATTTTCCAGGCCTGCGCCCTCCAGGTTTGGGCCTCAGGTCGTTTTCACTAAACCACGTTTTACTAAAGGGAGGTCTGTCCATCCCCGAGATATATGGCCTTCTGCCCTTCCAGCCACCGGGCCCGGGATGTGGGCCAGGTGCCTTTTGACTGCCTTTTGCTGCAGTCTCTTGGGATTCCTCTCGGGGATCTCTCGGGAGCCTCTTGAGGGCCTCTGGGGAGGTCTCTCGGGGGCCTGTGCGGGTCTCTTGGAGGTCTCTTTGGCGCCCGTATGGTGTGTCTTGGGCGCCCATCAGGGGCTCTTGGGGGCACCTTAGCGGTCTGAGTTATTGGGCCAAGCGCAAGAGCGGGGGCGCGCCAGCGGCTTGGAAAGGCCCCCAACGCCCCTTCGCTCTCCCTCTCGTGGGCTCCTCGATGGGCCCTTTTTGAGGCGTCTTGGGCCGTCTTGGGGGCCTCCTGATCAGTCTTTGAGACCTCTTGGGCCGTCTTGGGCTGCTCTCGGGCGCCTCTTTGACAGTCGTCGGGCGATCTTTGGGGCCCCTCGGGCCGCCTTGGGTGTACTTACGCCCGAGAGGCGAGAACGCCAAGATCGTTAAAACATAAAGAGCGTCATGGAATTTTTCCTCGTCGGGCCCTCTTTGGGATCGTCTTGGGGCACTCCTAGGGACCTCTTGGGGAGTTTTGGGTACGTCTTTGGGCCTTCTTGAGGCCATCTTGGGCTGTCTTAGAGCGCTCTTAGGTCGTGTCGGGGCCCTCGTGGATTGTTTTTGGGCCTCTTGGAACACTCTTAGTCCATCTGGGGGCTCTGCGCCCTCTGGAAAAGTCATGCTGTGCGCCCCCGACGCCACGCGAGAAGCCCCGTACCTGGGGCCTCTGCCTCTGCGCCCCCGAAACGGTATGCAGAGGGCGCAACGCAGAGAGCTCGAAGGGCCCTGATAACACTCCACTCAGTGTCTACACGGTGACGGATGATGTTCTCTCACGCTTGCGTGTCATGCGTAACATGCTTCCTCGGCGCGGGGTGGTGGGTTGGGGCGAACCGAAGGCCTGCGCCACTGGGAACCTCTGCCCGCCTGGCCGCCGCGCTGGCGGTCGCGCGCCGGCGGCGGCCGGTTGCCTGGGCGGCCGTGGTGCTGTACCGGGTCTTGCGGGGGGCGCGCCCGTGCCTGCCTGCGGCAGGTTCGCCGCGTGGACGCGGTGGTGAATCCAGCGCGGGCGCTCCAGGTCGGGCGCCGACGCTGGCTGGGGACTGGCCAAGGTCGAGCGGGCCGCGCTGTCGGAAAGCCGCCAGCGTTCGAGGCTGGGGGAGCAGCGCGGTGTCAGAAGCCAGCGCCGACGTCCTCGCGGCGCGAACTTGCCGCAGGCGACGTCCCCCCCCTTCCGACCTCTGGGCCCACTGCTCTGCTTCCCCGCCCGTACATCGGCTCCCCTGTCGGCCTCACGTTGCGGCCCCTCTGCAGATCCCCGCGCCCCGCCTGCCGCCAGCACCCCGTCAGGGCGCCTCGGCGTCTTGGGCACCTCTCCGGGCCGGCGCTCGCATTTGACGGAGCGCCGTACGCGTGCGCGGGTGTTCAGAAGTTCTCTCCCGTGCCAACGCGGGCCTTCGAAATGTGACGACAGTTGTGTGAACGAGCTCGGGTGCTGACCGAAATGTGGACGTCCAGTCTCCTTGCTTTGTGGAAGTCGTACCACCGTTTCTCTTGACGCTTCGCGTGGAGCAGTAACGGAACAAGAAGGGGAAGCATCACTCGAAGGGGAGCTGGGATCAGCTCGATCAGCCCTTCAGGTATCTCTGGGAGTCTCTCGGAGGTCTATTGGAGCCATCTTGAGGGGATAGGTCGGGGCAGGAGAGGGGGAGACATGGAGGGAGGGAGGGAGGGAGGGAATAGAGGGAACTATAATAATAAGGGAGAGAGGGGAGCAGGAGATCTCTCGCGTCGGCCGCTTCGCTTCTGGATGTCCTCTCTGGTCTCGCGTTGGATCCCCGTTTGTCGCATGTCTCTTCGAACCTTGCGTCCAACGTCATGATGATTCTTTCAACACATCGTGCCCCTAAGTCCTCGACACAAGCATTCGTGCGGATTTCGCGCCGCGGGTTACCTTATCTTAAGGCTGCCGCCTCTGCCGCCGACCCCAGTCTTGGGACATGATTTGGCCGTCTCGGGTTAAATTCAGTGATTTGGGTAGGCAGGGGGGTCGCAAGCCCAGATTTGGGCAACAAGTGGTTTCGGTGCAGTCTGTTGGAGCTGGGTTGGTTTCGGGCCCAAGAACTGAGCTCTCGTGGGGTGGGAGTGTCGGGACGTGGTGGGGGCGTGGTGGGGTGTGTTGGTTGGTTTCGGGCCAGAATTTGTCGTGTGGGGGGGCCCACGAACTGAGCTCTCGTGGGGTGGGGGTGCCGGGACGTGGTGGGGGCGTGGATGGGTGTTTGTGGTGGTTTCGGGTCAGACTTTGTCGTGTGGGGGTCCCAAGAACTGAGCTCTCGTGGGGTGGGGGTGCCGGGACGTGGTTGGGGCGTGGTTGTGTGTGTGTGTGTGTGTGTGTGTGTGTGTGTGTGTGTGTGTGTGTGTGTGTGTGTGTGTGGGGGGGTTGGTTTCGGACCAGAATTTGTCGTGTGGGGTGTGTGCCAAGAACTGAGCTCTCGTGGGGTGAGGGTGCCGGGTCGTGGTGGGGGCGTGGTGGGGTGTGTGGGTTGGTTTCGGGCCAGAATTTGTTGTGTGTGTGTGTGGGGGGTCCCCAGAACTGAGCTCTCGTGGGGTGGGGGTGCCGGGAAGTGGTGGGGGCGTGGTGGTGTGTGTGTGTGTGGGTTGGTTTCGGGCCAGAATTTGTCTTGTGGGGGGTCCCAAGAACGGAGCTCTCGTGGGGCCGGGACGTGGTGGGGCGTGGTGGGTGTGTGGGTTGGTTTCGGGCCAGAATTTGTCGTGTGGGGGGTCCCAAAACCTGAGCTCTCGTGGGGCGGGGGTGCTGGGACGTGGTGGGGGCGTGGTGGTGTGTTGTGTGTGTGTGTGTGTGTGTGTGTGTGTGTGTGGTTGGTTTCGGGCCAGAATTTGTCGTGGGGGGGTTCCCAAGAACTGAGCTCTCGTGGGTGGGGTACTGGGACGTGGTGAGGGCGTGGTGGGGTGTGTGTGGGTTGGTTTCGGACCAGAATTTGTCGTGTGAGGGGTCCCAAGAACTGAGCTCTCGTGGGGTGGGGGTGCCGGGACGTGGTGGGGGCGTGCTGGAGGGTGTGGGTTGGTTTCGGGCCAGAATGTGTCGTGTGGGGAGTCCCAAGAACTGAGGTCTCGTGGGGTGGGGGTGTCGGGACGTGGTGGGGGTGTGGTGGGGTGCGTGGGTTGGTTTCGGGCCCTAATTTGTTGTGTGGGGGGTCCCCAGAACTGAGCTCTCGTGGGGTGGGGGTGCTGGGGCGTGGTGGGGGCGTGATGGGGTGAGTGGGGGTTGGTTTCGGTTACGATTTGTCGTGTGGGGGGTCCCATCTCGTGGGGTCGGGGTACCGGGACGTGGTGGGGGCATGGTGGGGTGTGTGGGGGATGGTTTCGGGCCAGAATTTGTCGTTTGGGGGTCCCAGGATTTGAGCTCTCGTGGGGTGGGGGTGTCGTGGTGGGGGCGTTTCGGGCCAGAATTTGTCGAGTGGGGGGGAATTGAGCTCTCGTGGTGTGGGTGCCGAGAACGTGGTGGGGTGTGTGTGTGGGGGGGCCGATGAGCTCTCGAGGGGTGGTGGTGCCGGGACTTGGTGGGGGCGCAGTGGCGGTGTGGGTTGGTTTTGAGCCAGAATGTGTCGAGTGGGGGGTCCCAAGATTTGAGCTCTCGTGGGGTGGCGGTGCCAGGACGTGGTGGGGTGTCTGGGGGTTGGTTTCGGGCCAGAATTTGTTGTGTGGGGGGTCCCAAGAACTGAGCTCTCGTGGGGTGGTGGTGCCGGGACGTGGTGGGGGCGTGGTGGGGTGTGTGGGTTGGTTTCGGGCCAGAATTTCTCGTGTGGGGGGTCCCAAGAACTGAGCGCTTGTGGGGTGGGGGTGCTGGGGGCGTGGTGGGGGCGTGTGTGTGTGTGTGTGTGTGTGTGGTGTGTGTGTGTGTGTGTGTGTTTGGGTGGTTTCGGGTCAGAACTTGTCGTGTGGGGGGTCCCAAGAACTGAGCTCTCTGGGGTGGGGGTGCTGGGACGTGCTGGGGCATGGTGGGGTGTTTGGGGGTTCGGTCAGAATTTGTCGTGTGGGGGTCCCAAGAACTGAGCTCTCGTGGGGTGGTGGTGCCGGGATGTGGTGGGGGCGTGGTGGGGTGTGTGGGTTGGTTTCGGGCCAGACTGTGTCTTGTGGGGGGTGTGCCGGGACGTGGTGCGGGCGTGGTGGTGTGTGTGTGTGTGTGTGTGTGGGCTGGTTTCGGGCCAGAATTTGGCGTGTGGGGGGTCCCAAGAATTGGGCTCTCGTGGGGTGGGGGGTGCTGGGACGTGGTGGGGGCGTGGCGGGGTGTACGGGCTAGTTGCTGGCCTGCATTTTTTCGTGTGGGGGGTGCCAAGAACTGAGCTCTCGTGTGGGGGGGTGCCGGGACGTCGGTGGGGGCGTGGTTGGGGTGCCAGGACGGGTGGGGCGTGGTGGGGTGTGTGGGTTGGTTTCGGGCCAGAATTTGTCGTGTGGGTTGTCCCAAGAACTGAGCTCCGTGGGTGGGGGTGCCGGGGCGTGGTGGGGGCGTGGTGGGGTGTGTGGGTTGGTTTCGGGGCAGATTTGTCAAGTGGGGGGTCCCCAGAACTCAGCTCTCGTGGTGGGGGGTGCCGGGACGTGTGGGGGCGTGGTGGTGTGTGGTGTGTTTGTGTTGGTTTCGGGCCAAGATTTGTCTTGTGGGGGGTCCCAACTGAGCTCTCGTGGGGTGGGGGTGCCGGGACGTTGGTGGGGCGTGGGTGGTGTGCGTGTGTGTGTGTGTGTGTGTGTGTGTGTGTGTGTTTCGGGCCAGAATGTGTCTTGTGGGGGGTCCCAAGAACTGAGATCTCGTGGAGTGGGGGGTGCCCGACGTGGTGGGGGCGTGGTGGGGTGGTGGGTTGGTTTCGGGCGCCGAATTTGTCGTGTGGGGGGTTCCAAAAACTGAGCTCTCGTGGGGTGGTGGTGCTGGGACGTGGTGGGGGCGTGGTGGTGTGTGTGTGTGTGTGGGTTGGTTTCGGGACAGATTTTGTCGTGTGGTGGATCCCAAGAATTGAGTTCTCGTGGGGTGGGGGTGCCCGGACGAGGGGGGGGGTGTTGGTGGGGTGGGTGTGGGGGTTGGTTTTTCGGGCCAGAATTTGTCGTGTGGGGGTGCCAAGAGTTGGTGGGGGTGCCAGGACATGGTGGGTTGTGTGTGGGGGTTGCCAGAATTTTTGTCGTGTGGGGGGTCCCAAGAACTGAGCTCTCGTGGGGTGGGGGTGTCGGGTCGTGGTGGGGGTGTGTTGGGGTGTGTGGGTTGGTTTCGGGCCCGAATTTGTCGTGTGGGGGGTCCCAAGAACTGAGCTCTCGTGGGGTGGGTGTGTCTCGACGTGGTGGGGTGTGTGGGCTGGTTTCGGGTCCAATTTGTTCGCGTGGGGAGGTCCCAAAGACTGAGCTCTCGTGGGGTAGGGGTGCCGGGGCGTGGTGGGGGCGTGGTGGGGTGTGGGGTGTTTGGGTTGGTTTCGGGCCAGAATTTGTCGTGTGGGCCAGAATTTGTCGAGTGGGGGTCCCAAGATCTGAGCTCTCGTAGGGTGGGGTGCCGGGACGTGGTGGGGGTGTGTGGGGTGTGTTGGTGGTTTCGGGCCAGCTTCACGTGTGTGGGGTCCCAAGGACTGAGCTCTCGTGGCTGGGGGTGCCGGGCGTGGTGGGGGCGTGGGTGGGGTGTGGCGGGGTTGGGTTTTCAGGCCATACTTTGTCGTGTGGGGGTTTCCAAGACCTGAGCTCTCGTGGGTGGGGGTCTGGGGCGTGATGGGGGTGGGGTTGGTTTCGTCCAGATGTGTCGTGTGGGGGTCTCAACTGACTCTCGTGGGTGGGGTGGGACGTGGTGGGGTGTGTGTGTGTGTGTGGGTTGGTTTCGAGCCAGAATGTGTCGAGTTGGGGGTCCCAAGAACTTAGCTCTCGTGGAGTGGTGGTGCCGGGACGTGGGGGGGCGTGGTGGGGTGTGTGTGGGTGTGTGGGTTGGTTTCGGGGCAGATTTTGTCGTGTGGGGGGTCTCAAGAACTGAGCTCTCGTGGGGTGGGGGGTGCTGGGACGAGGGGGGGTGGTGGTGGGGGGTGTGGGGGTTGGTTTCGGGCCAGAATTTGTCTTGTGGGGGGTCCCAAGAATTGAGCTCTCGTGGAGTGGGGGTGCCGGGACGTGGTGGTGCGGTGGGGTGTGTGTGGGGGTTGGTTTCGGGCCAGAATTTGTCGTGTGGGGTGTGTGCCAAGAGATGAGCTCTTGTGGGGTAGGGGTGCCGGGGCGTGGGGGGGGCGTAGTGGTATGTTTGTGTGGGTTGGTTTCAGGTCATTTTTTGTCGTGTGGGGGTGCCAAAAACCTGAGCTCTCGTGGGGTGGGGGTGCCGGGACGTGGTGGGGGCGTGGTGGGGTGTGCGGGTTGGTTTCGGGCCAGAATTTGTCGTGTGGGGGGGTCCCACAAACTGAGCTCTCGTGGGGTGGGGGTGCCGGGGCTTGGTGGGGGCGTGGTCGGGGTGTGTGGGTTGGTTTCGGGCCCGAATTTGCCTTGAGGGGGTTCCCAAGAACTGAGCTCTCCTTGGACCCCTGTTGGGGCCCTCTTTGGACCCTCTTGGGCTGTCTTGAGCCCTGTTGGGCCGTCTTGGGGCCTTCTTGGGGGCAATTGGGCCGTCTTGGGGCTGTCTTGGGGGCCTCTTGGGCCGTCTTCGAACGTCGGACGCCCGAAAAGGCGAGAAAGCCACAAACCTGGAGAAAAAACGAAAACGATAATCAAGGCGAGTTGCATTATATTGATTAACGGAAGCGTGGGAGCACGCAGTGGTAAGTGGAGGCGGGGGGGGGTAGGCGTCAAACCGAAGATCGGGATCTGCCTCAGCAGGCCCAGGAGTCAACCATGTATGCCGTCGCGGATCTTTCGATACGGGAGCGTCTTGGCAGCTTAGCTGGACCATCTTGGAGCCCTCTTGGGCCCATTTTGGATGCCGTTGGGGCCCTGCTGGGGCCTCTAGCGGGTCTCTTGGGGTCCGGCGCCCTGAGGGATCTCTTGGAGGACATAGATCAAACATGTGCCCTCAATTAGCCTTGCCCCTCAGGAGCCCAGGGAATCGAGACTTGCGTCGCTCTTAGGCGCTCTTGGGGTTTCGCGGTGGCATCCTTGGGAGGCTCCGTGGCCACTTGGAGCGGTCTTGGGAGGGTCTTGAGACCTCTTGGAGGCATCGTGGAAGCCATGTTGAGCCATCTTCGGTTCTCTTATGTCATCCTGGAGGTAATCTTGAACAGCCTCAGGCCATCTTGGGACGAGCTTGGGCAATCTTGGACGCTCTGCCAGTCCAGATCCGGGGGTAGGGGGTATGGGGGAGGGCTGAAGCTTCCCCCCCCCCGAAGGATGGGCGTCTGGTCCACTCCCCACCCACCTTCCCAGCAGATAAACAGTCTGGACGCCCGAAATGGGTACGGAAAGAATGGGTACAATGCCCAACAGCAGTTCCTGTTTATTTTGAACAGGATTCGCTGTCCACGTCGCCGCGGCCTGTGTCCATTCAAGACAGAAGGCCGCCCGCCCAACAGCGGCCGCTGTTGGTTTGGGACAATAGTTGTCGTTGGGCATTGTACCCATTCTTTCCGTACCCATTTCGGGCGTCCAAAAACAGCACCGGAGCCTCAGCATGAACAGAGGCCGCCATCGACAATGGCCGGGAGCCGACGATGCAAACGCCCGCAAGGTGCGCGATGCCAGCGGGGTGCGTCGCGCGTGCCAAGGCATCCCATCACCCCTGTCAACAAAAAAACAACGCAAAGTAATCGCCCAGTCCCCGCGCGTGATGCAGATTGCTTCGCAAAGTGCGATTTGTTATATTTTTTGCACTGGGTGTTGGGGAGGTGTCGTCATGGGTCTGGGTTTTGTTCTTTCAGGGGGGGATGGGGGTGTCTATTGAAAAAGAACAGTGGTAAACCCCTGTGCGAAGGAGAAGAAGAGGGAGTTGGAAGGGAGAACGCGGTAGACCACTCATGCCCTAAAGGGGGGGTGGGGTTTTCCGCTTCCTGTATTCCTGGCAGCCCACGCAGAAACGAAGCCCAGGGGAACCGTCGGGAGACAGGAAGTGTATCGGCATACAATGAAACACAAGGGGAACATTGCTGAGCTTGGAGACCTCTGGGAGCCTTGGGGAAGCCTCTTTGGGTGTCATCTTGAAGGTCAGTTGGGGTCCTGTTGAGAGCCTCTGTGGCTCTCATGAGGCTTGTCGGGGCCTTCTTGGAGTCATTCAGGAGGCGATCGATCCTAGAAGAGGGGGCCTACCTCCCCGCGCTTGGAGGCCGAAAATTGATCTCTTGGGTTCTCTTGGGGCGCTCTTGTGGTGCTCTTAGGGGCTGTCGGGGCCGTGTTGGAGCGCTTCTGGACCTCTCGTCCAGTTCTCTTGGGCAATTTCGGATCCATCTCGAGGCCTCAGGAACTCACAGGACGCGAAACGGTGAACAGGTGTTTTCGGGGGCTCGGGAGAATTCTTTGGAGGCCCCGTGGCCGCCTGGAGTCCTGTTTAGGCCTGTTAGCCTTGTAGGTGCTCTTCTGGAGCTGTCTTGGAGGGCATCTTGGACATCTCGGAGGCGTCGGAGGTTGGTTTCTGGAGTCTCTGATGGCCTAGAATCTAGAAGGTGCGCTGAGGAGATCTGCCTCCACCACCCTTGCCCCTCACCCCTGGCAAGCAGGGATCGGCGGAATTTTCAGAAGGCCAGGGGTCCAGGCGACGACGACGACGACGATGCCGACGATGAGGAAGATGACGACGAGAAGGACAAGGTCGACGAGGTCGACGACGACGATGGCTCGGGGGGCGACCAGGCGCTGGAGCTGTGCGCCAGCGCCGTTCTCCCAGCAGGCCCCTCGCGGCAGCTGGGGCCTTCTCCTTGTTTCTCGCCGCTTCTCGCATGGTGGTGTGCAGGGCAGGGAGTGGCCCGTCGTCCTCTCCCCGTCCCTCTTCATCATCCCCCCCTTCCCCCCCGTCCTCCCTTCCTCGTGGGCAACTCCTCCTCCTGATGCGGGCCAGGTGTTTCTCCTAAGACATGCTAATTGTTCGGGATCCTGAAGCGTGAAGTTCCCTACATATGTGTATACAAAAATATGTATGTATAGATAGACATGTATATATGTATGGAAGGCGGGCGAATCATGTCCAAGTGTGGCTCCAGTGCATGCGCCACCCAGATTTGTATGAAACGCTTCCAACAGTTGCCCAGATGAAGGGCGGGGGCCTCGATGCGATTGTCTCGCCTTAGTGGCGGTGCGCGAGTGTCAATGCGACCGGCGAATGATGGGCGGGGCGTTTTCAAGCCGTGCGCATTCATCTAAAGAGCTTCACTTGTTGCACGGGTGGATGTCGATTCGTTTCCCAACGGTTGCCTTGCCATAGCGCTGCTTATGCTCGCCTTGAGCACTTCCAAGTGTAACAATGATGGAAGGCGTTTCCCTTTCAAGCGCCTGCGAGGTCTCCCATGATCAGAAGCTAAGCATCGCGCAGCAGTTTGCACGGATGGGGCGGCGACTTCTCCTTCAAGTGGGGCGAAATCGTGATGACATTCGTATTAACAAAGGGCCACCGTGGTGTGCATGTGTAACAGCTGCAAGGATGGAGCGCGACTCATTTTCAACACGGGGCTCTAGCTGGACACTCCCTTGAACCGTATGACCTCACTTGGGCGCTTCTTGCAGCTATGAGGGCGGCTCCTTTTCTAGGGGGCCACATGCGAACCCTACCCCTACCTCCCACGATTTCTGAGGGGGAGGGTGGGGTTCACTTTGCTCGGGAGCTCCCGAACGAAGTGAACCCCACCCTCCCCCTCAGAAATCGTGGGGGGTAGGGGTAGGGTTCGCATGTGGCCCCCTATTTTCACACTGGTACTTTCGCCTGAGAGGCAGGTCCAAGGGATTCTTGCCTTCGGCCGGGGGCTTCGTGCAGTGATAACAGGAAGGTTTTTAGGGATTGGCGAACATCGGACTTGGGTCGGGAGGGTGTGCTGCAGCATCGGGGATGAATCCTGGGTCTGCTCAGGCCTCCTCCCCCCCTCCTCCTCCTTCCTCCTCCTCCTCCCCTCCTCCTCCTCCTCCTCCTCCTCCCTCCTCCTCCTCCTTCGCCTCCTCCTCCTCCTCCTCCTCCTCCTCCTCCTCCTCCTCCTCCCTCCTCCTCCTCCCCCTCCTCCTCCCCCTCCTCCCTCCTCCTCCCCCTCCTCCTCCCCCTCCTCCTCCTCCTCCCTCCTCCTCCTCCTCCTCCTCCTCCTCCTCCTCCTTCGCCTCCTCCCCACCTGTCGGGCGCGCCGCTGGGCCAATGCCAGCCGGCCTTTCGCGGCGTGGGCCTGCACGCCGACCGCACCTCTTGGTTTCTAAGACGGAGAGTCTAGGTGCCAAGGGCCTTTGTCGTCAGGAAGCGGTGCCAGCATCCACGGACTGGCAAGGGACGGGGCATTGCTCGGACCCCCATGTCCACAGGATGCCTCCAGCGGGCAGCCCGCCGAGAGTGGAGCGCAATGAAAGGCAGCAGCCGCAGCAGCAGCAGCAGCAGCAGCAGCAGCAGCAGCAGCAGCAGCAGCAGCGGGAGCAGGGGTAGAGGCGGGGCCTTTCTCTTGCGAGTGTTCGGCCATCCGTCGTCGCTTTTTGAGGGGGTGTGGCGAGGCAGAGTCGGACTCTTCTTACTAGTCGTCAACCTCCTCCTCTCGTCCCCCCGCTCCTTGTTCTTTCTCCTTCTTCCCGCTCCCTCCAGCTGCTGAGGGGCTCGCGGCGGCCACTTCCTTCTGTTGCTGCCATGCTCAACCGATTGCGCACGGCAGGCAGGTCCTGCTGATCCCCCCTGCTCCCCCTTCCTCCCCAACCTCCTGCCCCTCTTCCTCTTTGTCCTCCCCCCCTGTCGTTCGGGATCAGGAGGCCCCGGGAAGGCGGTGGATTCTCTACCTGCACTTCTGTGTGGCGTCCTCCGTCTGTCGAGCAAAGGGGAGGACGAGGAGGGAGGAGTGCAGGAAGGGATGTGGATGCGATGGGGAGGGAGGGAGGGAGGGAGGAGAGGGATGGCGGGTTACTTGGGGAAGGATGGATGGAGGGGAGGTGTACCCGTTGTGTGGGTTCTGCCTCCCGGGGCCCAGCTCCTTCTCCGGCCACTTCTTTTCCTCGCCCTCTTCCTTCCCCTCTTGCCTTCCACCTCCTCTTTCATCGTCGTCGCCGCCGTGCCCCTCTCCTCCCTCTCCTCCTCCCTGAGGCGTATGCTGGATTATTGACCCGTGCGCGATGCTCCCGATTTTCATACTGCTGTGGTGCCGTCGCTCTTTTGTGAGAAAGCGGGGAGTGAGGCGGGCGGATCCAGAGCGTATCTTTCCTCTTGGTGCAAAGCGTGCCGAACTCCCGTCGAGAAGCTTGATGTCGTGCGCACTACTGTTATGATTCCGATCCGATCCCTGGACCTCTCCATCTCTTCCTTTCTGTTCTTTCATCTATCTCCGACGTGTGGGCGATCAGGGATTCGGCTCATGCGACAGCGAAGCGGAACGATTCGAGAAGCAACACCGTGGGAATGCGAGACGGTATCGCCGCATGAATTGTCCCAGCTGACTCAATCCCTTCATCCTCACTTTAAGCCATTTTCTGTCGCTTCCAGGGTCGCAATCCGCGGAGGCGTCTTCGCGCGCCCCCGGTGCGGTGCAATCAGTGGAGGCGTCTTCGCACGGCGTCTGATGCGATGATCGCCTCGAGCATACGTAAATATGTTCTTGTTAAAACGGATGCTTGAGGCGTGTGGAGGTAGGGAAGGATAGGGGAGGAGGGGGAAGGAAGGGTCAAAGGCGGGGAAAAAGGAAGGGGTCAGGGGGGCGTGGGTGGAGGGAGGGCGAGGGAGGGAAGAAGTGACGCAAGGAGAGCTGGAAGGACGGTGATATTGAAGGATAGATGAAAGAAGGATTGTGGGGGTGGAGGGATTTGGGGGAGGTGGATGGAGATGGGGGTGGGTGGAGGGGAGCCGGAGGTGAGGAGAAGGGTGGGAGGCCAGGTACGGGGACATTGAAGGATGGCCAGAAGAATGGGGGATTGGGGGAGGTGGATGGAGATACGGGTGGGTGGAGGAGTGGGAGGGCGTGAGGGAGGGGGAGGTTGGGAGAAGGGGTGGAGGGCATTAGCGGGAGGGGGTGGGGTTTGCCCTCTGGAAGGATGCGGTTTTTTTGGGAGCGTTCCGGGACCGTGAAGTTGATGCTCGGTGTTTCATGTCTCGAATGTGCAGGCCTCCTGAGGATCAGAAATGGCCAGATTATGAACCTGGTGCGACCCCAATCAGGGGAACGATTTCCACTGCACGGGCGCGTTGCTTGGCATCGCCTTGCACTGCTTGGCGTCACGCTGGCCGGAGCAGGCCTCGACTGCCACTGCACGGCAGCAAGGCCGAGGAGCCCCGAGGAACGCCACTGCAGGGTCCAGGACTCCCTGGCGCAGGCCTCGCGCTCACCAGTTCGTCAAAAACCAGCGTGTTCAAAACAGCGTGGGAGCCCCGTCGCCAACGCCCAATTCAGCGACGGAAGAGAACGGGGTCGTCTGCGCCGACGCGGGGCCGTCAGCTGCCCGCGAGAGGCTGCGCGTCGGCGGCCTCGCCCTCAGTGGGGCGTGCCACGCTGGCGGCCCGCGCAAGCCGCGGCGTGAGGTCACCGTGCCATCTCGCGCAGCGCCCGCTCCGTCTCTTCGCTCACGTGGGGTAGCCTTCGGGAGCGGAAAAGAGGGGGGTGATGACTAGGGGGGGTGGATATCATGGCGGGGGCCATGATATTTCCTCAGATTTTATGGCGCCTCTGCTTATTTCGTTACGTCCCTGGCCCCCCCGCTGGGCCGCGCACATGCCGCTGGTCATGATGTGCACCCCCCCCTCTTGGACACCCCCCTCTTGGCCGCTCCCGAAGACTCGTTAAAACGTCAGGCCTGCCAGCCAGTTCTCACTGCCCTGCTCGAGTTTTGCTCCACATCACATTCCTTGTGGAGTCATCGTGTGCGCTCCCATCTTCTCCCTCCAAAGACAACAAAAAAAACGTGGGGTAGACTCGCTCAGAAGCCTCGCTGCCCCCCCCCTCCTCGCGCTCGTGGCGGCCCGCCTCGGGCTTCACCGTGGCGGCCGCCATCGCGGGCCTGGCCCGCTCGAGATCGGTCCCGGACCGCGCCTGGCCGCCGTGCTGGCCAGCGCCTCGGACTGCGTGCAGCCGTGGCGACGAGGGTCTCCAATCAAACGACGCGAAGATCGGGACAACATCGGATCGGGATAACTCGAAATCTCTGAGAATCGGCGGGTTTGGAGGATGTATTGGGCGCCGCGGCCGCTCCAGAGCGTTCCGGAACTCTCTGAGAGCGCTCCGGAACGCTCTGGAGCGATTTATCCCGATCTTAGCTTTGTTTTATCCAGAGCTCTTAGGAGAAAAAGGTACCGATGCTGCTCATTACCCTTCCCGCGTGTTCCCCTTGGTCGGGCTTCCTGGGAGGCCCTCGTCGTCGCGGCTGGATCCGCCTCGAGATTCTTGTCTGAGCGCACCCTGGGAGAGGTCCGGGGTCCCTGCTGTAGCGGTATCGGTGCCTTTTGCTTCCCCCGAAGCTGACGCCCGCACTGGAACTGAGGGCGGCGGCCGGCGGCTCGTCTTGGGTCTACGCGTCGTGCAGGCACGGCGCGATGGGTCGAGTCTGGCGGCGGCGACGACGGCGCCGTCGCGGCGGCCGCCCCCGAGCGCTTCGCCCTTTGCTGCTCTGGCGAGCCCCGAGCGGCCTCGCAACACGGGGGCCCAGGTCGCCCGCGGGGGCGCGAGGAGGATCGCGCGTCGCGCTCCGCGTGTCGCCCTCTGGGCCAGAGCAGCTGCGCGTCCCTCCTCCAATACGGGGGAGGCGCGAGGGCGCGAAGTCAGCCGCGCGTCGCGCACCGCGGGGCGCGGTGCGTGAAGGTAGGTGACCTGGAGTGCCATCTTGGCGGCCGCCCCCCGAGCGCTTCGCCCCCCGAGAGCAGTAGCGCCGCCGCCCCAGCGGCAGCCCGCTCCGCCGCGCCACGAGTCCGGCCTGGCGCCGTCGCCGAGGAGGGCCCCGAGGGCGGCCTCGCAGACCCGCCGCCTGCCGGCCTGGCGGCCCCGCGGGCCGCGAGCGCCTCGGCTGGCGGATGGGCGGCCTCGCGGCCTCGGGGCCCCGAGCGCTCCGTCCCCGCGGCCCCCTCCCCCCTCCCTCATGTGGAACAGCAGAAGAGACGATACAAAAGAAGCAACAGTGTGATAGTGCTGCAATCTTTCCTCGCCCCGTGTACTGAATCTCTTTTATCCCAGGTGCATTCACCAACCCACACGTGTGTGCGCCCTCCTGTTAGGGCTTGAGCACCGGCATAAACCAGTGAACAACACCCTCCCCCCCTTCTCCCAGCGGCAGCCTGCCGCCCGCGCGGCGCCGCGGCCCCGGCCTCGCGCAGCGCCCGCCGATGCTGCAGGGCGCGGCCGCCCTGACGGGCGGCCTGTGCGCCGCGTCGGCGCTGGAGGAGGCGCGCGCCAGGCTGCCGCGGGTGCAGGCAGCCGGCTGGGGGCGGCCCGCTCGCGCGGGCTCCTCCTCTTCCCGAGGAGGAGGAGGAGGAGGAGGAGGAGGAGGAGGAGGAGGAGGAGGGAGGAGGAGGAGGAGGAGGAGGAGGAGGAGGAGGAGGAGGAGGAGGGAGGAGGAGGAGGAGGAGGAGGAGGAGGAGGAGGAGGAGTCTGGAGGAGGAGGAGGGGGATGACCCGTGTAAACCCAAGACTCATCAACGATGTTGGAATACACCCTCCCTCCAAGCTCCCTCTTCGTAGGCCCCTACACTGGTTGATTTCCAGTGGGGCAAGTGCCCCGTTGGGGCACAACCGTGTGAAAATCCTGAAGCGTGCCAAACACCGTTCTCAGGCCCTCAGCGACACGAGTAGCTGACTCTTACGTCTTGGTGATCCTGAATCGTGCCAGAACGCCATTCCTGGGACTTCACACCGCCAATCAACGTGACTGTTGCGCCCTGACTGTCCTGAATCGTTCCACGTTCCAAAATGCCGTTTTTGGTATGGCAGCCACAAGAATCAGTGAAGCTCTTGCAGGCTTTTATAACACATGTGCGCGGCGCTAAGGCGATAGCCACATTTCAGGAACGACCCGCCTTTAATCCGTGCAGCTCTTCCAGTTCTTAAGACGATTGTGCGCGGCACTAAGGCGAGAGCCACAGTTTGAAAACGCACACCCTCAATCCGTTAAGCTCCGGCATTTTTGAAACGGGTTTGCGCGGCGCTAAGGCGAGAGCCACATTTTGGAAACGACTTGCCTCCAATCTTTTTTTTGCATTTTCTTTGATCGAATGTGTGCGGCGCTAAGGCGAGAACCACATTTTGAAAACCACCCGCCCTCAATCCGTGAAACTCTTGCATTCTGTAAAGCGAATGTGCGCGGCGCTAAGGCGAGAGCCACCTTCTGAGAACGTCCCGCTTTCAATCCCTGAAGCGTAGGCACAATGTTGAAGCGAATGTGCGCGGCGCGGAGGCGAGAGCCACATGTTATTGGAAGTGATCCACCCTCCAGTTGTGAGGCTGTTGCCAAGTTCAAGCTGGCGTGACGACGACGACGATGACGACGACGACGATGACGACGACGACGACGGCGATGGTGAGGAAGTCTCAGACGATACGCCCGGCCCGCGGCCTCAGGGTGCGACAGGGAGGAGTTATCTATTGGGAAACGGAATGGAGGAGGAATGCAAGGAGGAGGAGGAGGAGCAGGAGGAGGATGCGGGAATGCAAGGAGGAGGAGGAGGAGCAGGAGGAGGATGCGGAGGAGGAGAAGGAGGAGGAGGAGGAGGTAGGACGAGAAGGAGGAGGAGGAGGAGGAGTCTGAAGTAGGAAGATGATGATGATGATGATGATGATGATGATGATGATGATGATGATGATGATGATGATGATGATGATGATGATGACGATGATGATGATATTCTGATGATGATGATGATGATGACGACGACGACGATGACGATGATGATGATGAGGAGGAGGAGGAGGAGGAAGAGGAGGAGGAGGAGGAGGAGTCTGGAGGAGGAGGAGGAGGAGGAGGAGGAGGAGGAGGAGGCAGGACGAGAAGGGGGAGGAGGAGGAGGAGGAGTCTGGAGTAGGAAGAGAATGATGATGATGATGAGGAGGAGGAGGAGGAGCAGGAGGAGGAGGATGATGTTGATGATGATGATGACGATGACGAT